TTAACTTGTCCAGTATCTTTTCCCTCTGTCTGCCTCTGTTCTTCTTTCCATCAAACTTGCCTGTTGTTACAATATTCTCCAAAGCTTCTTTTACGCATTATGTATCCAATGAAATTTGTCTGTCGCTTTTGTATATTCGTCATAAGCTGTTGTCTGCAATCTGCTTCAACCAAGATTTCTTCTTCTGTTTTTCTAGCTCTCCATGGGATACACGGCATGCGTATTATGAACCACAGCTCTGTCGCCTCAATTGTTCTTCCAGCTGTCTATTGATTGTCCATGCTTCGCACCCGTATAATAGGACTGTGTCGATGTAACTTTTTAGTACTCATTTTCTTGTTTCCAGTGACAGATTGACGTTTTTTGAGTATCTGTTTCATTTTGTGGAAAGTTGCTTTTGCTTGGGAGTGTGACACCTCCCGTCATATAATATAATGGTCCCTAAATATTTACAATGTTGTACTTGCTTGAGGGTGGTATCATTGATTTTGATAGTTCAGGTTTCTTTAACTCTTACACCACAACAAATCCGATTTTCTCAAATTGTATTTGTGGGTGGTTGGCCTGTGCTCTGGTGTGGTTTGCTTCTTCTTTCCTATCAAACATCTATCGTCCTTATCTCCCCTTCTTCTTTTTTATGTTTGTTACTCTCTTGTAACAGCTCTAATCTTCTGGCGCTCATATGACCCTTTGCAGTTGCGAGCGCCGTAAAACCTCTACTAAGACTAAGAGTATATTCTAAAAATTCCCAGAATATTCTTCTCAATGATTGGCGCACTGATGATGGCGGGCACCGTAGTTGACGTCATTTTCGTCCAGTGGCCGGCCTGGGAGGTTGAGAGGGTCAAGTCACGTGGTTTCACCCACGAGGAAAGCACGCCGTGTGAAGGACCCGGACCCCAACAATTGGGACAGGACAAGCAAGCAGGACAAGAAGACCAGGCAGGGGAGACGTCTGCTCTATGGGGGCGGCCCAAGACAAAGAGCTACGCACCGCCGAGTCCCTTTTGGGGTGAGTGAGGAAATGTGAGGCCTGCTGACAAAAAGAGTTACTTCTCGCAATCCACAAAATGGAGATATTGGCCAAAAATCGACATTAGGGTCAAATTTGTTTATTTCCTATTAATGCCATATTCTTGAACTGTAACATGTATTTTATTATTTCATACTTATAAATTGTAAAAACTTCACCTAGTATAAACGTGATGTATCTATTTCCTTAAAGCTTGAATCAGAGAAGTAACTCATTTTGTCAGCACACTTCACAAATGATGAGGACTTACTTTTCCTTTTTTCCTTTTTCCCTCCTCTGATATACTGAGAATATCGAGGGCGGGGGAGGAGGGGTGGGGGTGCAGGTTTCAGTCCTTTGCTAAGTGTGTAGCGTCTGGGATAGATAATGATATGTCGTACCAAGACCGTTTTAACCCCATACAGCAAGGCCTTTCTTGATATTTCTTGGTCTTCCTCTTGATTGGAAGCCGGATTCACAGGTAGGGCAAGCTCTTGCCTTTAGTTGTTTTTGGGGCATTCCGGTTAGATATCCGAACCACTTGACTCATTGACACTCAATGAAATTCATTACTGGTGGCATTCCGGTTTGTAAGCGTTTGGTCTCATTCTGTATGTAGTCTCTTCTGGTGACATTGGTGGTTTTGTGGAGACACCTCACTTCGCAAACATTGATGTTTCTTTCTTGTGCTTTGTTTAGAGACCATGTGTAGCACTGGTGTGTTAAGGTTGGTAAGAAGATGATATTGATAAGCTGAGATTTCACTTCGGTTGGGATGTTCTTATGATTTAGCACAGGTGCTAGCTGGTGGGTCACTGCATTTGCCATCATAGTTTTTGTTTCTATCTCTTTGTCCATACACCCATTTTGTATGAAGATGCTTTCCAAGTATAATGAAGGAGGGAACAGATGAAAATGAAACGGTGAAATGGTACTGGTTCAACGCCCCTATCAACACTTTTAGGTTATTTAAGAGGCGGGACCTCCGAGTTTAAAGTCCATCTCCGAAAGGACTGAGCCAAGTGGGAAATTCGTGTAAAGTGCTTTTCCCAAGGACACTACGTCGGACCGAGGCTGAAAATAATAGGCCAACTCGCTGCTGGGTCAGCCATTTTCATCTAACTGCGCGGGGATGGATGGATGGATGGATGGATTGATGGATGGATGGATGGGTGGGTGGATGGATGGATGGATGGATGGATGGATGAATGGATAGATGGATGAATGGATGAATGGATAGATAAATAGATAAGTAGATAGGTAGATATATAAATAGATGGATGGATGGATGGATGGATGGATGGATGGATGGATGGATGGATGAATGGATGGGTGGATGGATGGATGGATAGATTGATGGATGGATGGATGGATAGATAGATGACCTTTCACACTTTTTTTTCTCCTGAAATACACTAAGTGTGACTGGCAAAGGCAACAAGAAGACCTTTCAACTTTTGTGTCCTAGAAATGAGCTTGGTTTGACTGGAAAAATTTATAAGATAAAGGGCAAAGTCTCCAAGATGACCTTTCACCCTCTGTTGTCCCAGAAATCCTCCAAGATGACCTTTCACCCTCTGTTGTCCCAGAAATCCTCCAAGATGACCTTTCACCCTCTGTTGTCCCAGAAATCCTCCAAGA